TTCTATAAACCACCTTGCTGTGCAAACGATCACAGTTAAAAATGACAAGGGATGGGGCTGGAGAAGTGATGCAGCAGCTAAGAGCACTGGCTGCTCTTCCAGAGGACTCAGGTTTGATTCCCAGGAACCGTGTCGCAGCTCACACACGTCTGTAACTCCAGTTCCAGTGGAGCTGGCATTTTCCTTAGGTACTGCATGCATGTGTTACACCGACATAAATGAAGGCAAAATACCCATACACATTCAGTAATAAAAATTTTTAAAATTATGAGACATACAGAATTCAAATTAGGGTACAAGACTCAGAACTCTGTCAGTGATACTTTAAAAAAGCCTTGTAAAAGTGATAGCACAGTTTTAATGTAAGTGGTTAAGAAATATATAGATGCCAAAATAAATATGAAATTTTATTTTGAATGATGAGAATTGCTTATAGGTGGAATTGAGAAGTATTACAGCTTGTGGGTTACTATAAATTGGTGCTGGGTGGATTTTCCAGCATGTACCAGGAGATTTTAATAGCAGGTGAGAAGTGTATGGTTTATAACACATAGTAAATTAAGGTAGATGTGTGAGCTGTGTGTACTTGTACATTTCTGTAGGCTAAGTACAGGCAAGTAGTTTTCTTTGTTTACACATCTCTTACTTCTAGAGCACCAGACTTAAGAGGCATTCATTTTCCAGGTCCAAAGGCATGTCTCTTGCTTCACTCTAGTTCTGCCTGTTTCTATCTAAAACACTGCTTAAGTGTACAATGCAGTTTGCATTGTATCCAAATTGGACCCTCATCTATTACTTTTATATGGTGATAAGAACTGTTTAAGAAGCATTTATTCCATTCATTATTGACTTGGAGTGGTATGTGGGCATCCCACAGCACTCATGTGGAAGTCAGAGAACAAACTGGAGGATTAGTTCTCTTCTTGCACTGTGTGTGTATCAGGGATGGAACTCAGGTTGTCAGGAGTAGTAGTGTATGTCTACCCACTTCACGATCTCATGGCTATGTGATAAGAACTCTTGACAAGAAATCGGCCCTGCAGTACAGTGTTGTTAACCGTGAGCACAACGTACAGCTCATCTGAACAGCCCTTTATATAACTGAGGTGTATAGGCACTGAGCAGCAAGTTATTTCAACTCTCGTGTCCCCTGACATCTACTGTCTACTCTCCTTTACTGTGAATATTTTACATACCTCATGTAAGTAGAAACTGGTTTGTTTCATTTAGCACAAGCCCTCCTGGTTCTTCTGTGTTAGTACATATAGCAGGATTTCCTTCCTGTCTTCTGTATCAGCTCCTCTGTCTGTGGACATTTAGGTTGTTTCTGTGTCTTAAAGTGATGCTGCAGTGAACATGGAAGTGCATATGTGTCTTCAGCATCTTGATATGTCTCGGGAAGTGGGTTGCTGGACCACATATAGTTACTGTTTTTCTATTATTTTGAGGAGCTTCGTACTGTTTCCCACAATAATGCACCATTTTGCATTCTTACCAAAAGCTCCAAGAGTTGCTTTTTCTCCACATCCTCTCCAACTCTTTGAATAACACCATCCCGATAGGTAGGAGATGGTGTTCTTGTTGTCGTTAGGATTCACCTAACATTATAATTGCATCTTAGCATGTTCAAATTTCCAAGACATTTCTATACAATTCTGTAAATAAAATATAGGAGCCTATAACAGGAGCATAAACTTTTTCAAGAGAAGGTAGCAGTTGAATATCAAAGGAAAAGTTTCTTACAGTACCAGTATATAGACAGTTGATACTGTTCCATAAATTCTACATTTTAAGGTAGGACATTTTAAATTATAGTATTAATGGCACTTCAAGTTCACATTTCTGCTTTTAATTCTATTAGATATTTAAGACAATTAGTTAGGGTATCTGTGTCTCCATGATAAAGGTAAAAGCCAAAATTATTTAAGAAAATTAACTGGGGATCAAAACAAATGTTGACTCTCAAACAAACTTAGATGTAAGTACTACCAAATGTCTAGGAATAGACCATCCCCATCCTCACAAAACTAACCTTTGAAAAATAATGAAAAAGTTACCCTATTTTGTTTAATAAAAGAAAAACTTCGCACATTCAATATTTAATCATGATAAATGATTAAATGATAAAAACATGTTAAATAGAAGGTAGTTTCTCTAACATTTATCAAAAACTATAGCAAATTATTTTATCAAATGGTAGAAATTTAGATAGTTCTATTAAAAACAAGAGTGTTTCTTTCTGTCCAGATGTGGTGGCACAGGGGAGGCGGAGGCAGGCAGATCTCTGGAAGTTCTAAGCCAGCCTTATCTCCATACCTAGTTGCAAGTACACCAGGATTGCACAATGAGACCTTGTCTCAAAAAAGAAAGAAGTCTCTTTCATCTTCTACCCTAGACAGTCCTGGTCAGTGATTGGATAAGAGAAGTGAAAACTGAATTAGAAAATGATCCAAAGCAACACTGTAACTTTTTTACATTGAAAAAATCAAGAGGAGCCCAGTGTAGGGCAGCATATGCCAGTAACCCCAGCACTCCTGAGTCTGATGCAGGAGGATCCGTGAGATCCAGGTCAGACTGGGCTGTAGATTTGAGAGAAAAGGAAAAATTCAAGGACATTTCCAACAAAATGAAACTATTAAGGACTCAGACAGCCAGTAGATAAGAGATTTTTTGCTTTTTTTTTTTAAATCATTTCTTGTAAACAGCCTCAGTGTCCCATCATCAACCAATGACTGGATAAAGAAAATGTAATGCAGGTACAGAGTGGGATGCTGTTTTCCCTTTTACAAAAGGATAAAAATCCTGTAATCTGCAGTAGTAGACATGATATTAGTAAAATACGGCAGGTTCAAAAACATGAATTACTCAAATGCAGAGTCTAAGAGTTCGAGTAGTTGGGAGAAGTGTCCAGCGGCTAGGGAGAGTTTGATCGATGGACACTAAGTTGTTTGGACTAAGTTCTGGTGTTGCACTATGGTGCTGTAGATAATGATTATGTAGTGTATATTTCAAAAAGCTACAAGAACACTTTGAATCTTTTTACTGTAAAAGGATGATAAATGCTGAGGGAAGCATGTTTTTGCTGATTTAAACATTGCACTATGTACATGTATGGCACATCACATGGTACCCCATAAACATAGACAGGGGTTCTATGTATCAATTAAAAAAATAAAACTGTTCATTTCTATGCAGTAACTACCAAGAACTATAAACTATAATTGCTTGGAAACTAATCTGGTTTGGTTTGGAGGTAGCGTGGTATGTCTCAAATCCAGGTGACCTCAGACTTAGTCCTCCTGCCTGAGTCTCCTGGATGCGGGAATACAAACAGGAGCCGCCATGCCTGGGTAGAGAAACTGAAAGTCTCTATGGTGTTTTCAGTTTTTGCTCAATTGACAAGGATTTTCTTAAATTGTTATCATTTGAATGTTTTATGTTTATGTTCCTATTTTTTATGTCAGTACTTGACCTCACTCAGATAGTAACTACTTATTTAATAGTGAAAATGTTTTGTTAACATTTATTAAAGCACATTAAATAGTTCCTGAGTAATTGAGAAAAATTCCACCCCTGTGGATCAGAAGACTAAATCCACAGTTCCCCCGAATTGTTCTGTTAAGGTCAGTGCACTTCCAATCATGATCTTCATTTCTCTGTGTGTGTGTGTGTGTGTGTGTGTGTGTGTGTGTGTGTGTGTGTAACCTGATAAGTTTATTTAAAATGTTTTTGAAAACACAAATGACCACATGTAGCTGAGGCAATTAGAGCAATAAGCTGAAGGAAATGTTCTAAACAGTATCATGATTAAGGTAATTAAAACCCTATAGAATTGGGACAACGATAAATACATAGATGAATGAAATAGGGAAAATGTCTCTTGGTGTGACATTTATCTGCAGAGAAAGCAAGTCACATGTTTTAGTATCTTAAATTGCAATGGAGGAAAAGTCCAAAATTTATTGAGTGATTTTTTTTTCATTTGTATATATTTATTGGCTTTTAAAAACAAATTTAGCTGGGGAGGATTTGGAAGGACCATATTTTTAGTAGAAAACTATGATCAAAATATATTATACTATATGATACATTTTGGAAAGTGGGTTTACTTAAGAATTACTACCTCAGAAAGGTCTCGGTGTGAGAGCTTTGAGTTGCGTAACTGGCAGTGGGACTGGGGCATTGCAGACTTCTTTAGATCCACTTTTAGGGAAGGAAATTGCTCATGAATATTCTTTAAGAATTAGAAGGTTTTGTTAGGTTGGTGCCTTTGCTTTAGCTATTTTCAGACATAACTGTGGGCTTTTTATTTCTCTAGTGCTGTATGTGGTAAGCCCAAAAACGTTAGGATGGTGACCCCTGAAAATGGGCATTACACACAGAGCTGTAGCCTCTCCTCAGCCTCTGCTGTTGGCTGTCCTGCAGGTGAAGCTGGTTACATGAGTGATGTCCAGAGACTGTAAGACTGCTGTAAAGTCAGTCCCGAGTGTAGTGCTGAGACGGGGGGATAAGTTGATTGGAACGAGTACAATCAACTTTTGGAACCTTTAATGAGAAGCTTTCCTTTCTTTCAAAAACCACTGAAGTGCATATTGTGTTTGTAGGTTTCTAGTAGAGCCACTTTTATACTTTTGTCTTACCACATTGTACCTTAAGTTTTTTAATGATTTTTTGTTATATTGTTGTTTGTTTTTTTGCTCAATTGACAAGGGTTTTCTTGAATTTTTGTCATTTGAATGCTTTTGTATAGTGCTACGGGGTTGTTTTCCATTTTACGTCAGTACTACTTATTTAACAATGAAAATCTTTTCTACAAATGAAGTCTGTCCTTCCAAGTACTAGTGACCATGTGGCTGTAATCTCAAACTATTCTTGTTCTCAGTGGTTTTTTTGAAGGGGACATGTTCTCTAATACAAAATGAAATAACAAAAGTTGATTGATCTGTTGTTGTTCTCATATTTCCAGGTGTTTTAACTAACCAGTTTCTCTTCCTTTCTAGGTATCTAGTAGATAGTCGCTGGTTCAAACAGTGGAAAAAATATGTTGGCTTTGACAGTTGGGATAAATACCAGATGGGAGATCAAAATGTCTATCCTGGGCCCATCGATAACTCTGGACTTCTCAAAGGTATTATTTTCTTCAGTCAAGTTGTAAATGTGTTAAATTTAATGAGTGACTGTCCGTGGGTGTAACATGGTGAATGTTAACGTAAATAAATGGATAGTTAGAAATTCATTGCAAGCGTGGTGTCGTAAGTAGTGCACATCTGTATCCCTGGACAAGAGGCCAAGTCAAGAGAATCACTACTTTAAGTCAGCCTTAGATAGGTAAGGAGACTTTCAGAAAAGAAAATGAAAAAGATACTTGTTTGCAGATCATTCTGTAACTATTGTTACATATATGACACATTTCTCTTTTGTATTTATGCTGTGATCTTGATTTAGGATTTAAAGGTTAAAATGAAGAAAGTAAATTATAAAGCACTATTTTACTGTTTTGGGGAAATGCTATAGCACACATTGTTTTCCTAATGGATAAGTGACTTATTTTCAGAGTTAGTTGTCACCAATATATGCTCACATTCTTGACTTTTTGTACTGTCCTACAACCCTCACTACTTGCCTGTGCTTCTCTGCCTTTTACTATATTTAAAGAAAATAAATCTCAAGTATCAGCACTCCCACTTACGGTTGAATTGGAGTCAGAGGGACTAGATCCAGAGACCTGAAATAACTAAAACCCTGACAAGTACGAAAAGGATTCAGTACATCGTTTGTAGTTTGATTACAGGAACTTACTACATGAAAGTAGAAAGAGGTGATTGACTGTACTGTCAGTCTCTAACCTCCATATGTGATCCACACTGGGACATGCACCCACACTGTGTGTGCACACAACAACCACCACAAAAATATATTTCAACTTATTTTTTGGAACAATTATATAACCATAAAATGTCTCTGTTTAAGTGAAAGACAATAAGGAATGCATATTTAACTTCCCACATTTCAGTGTGGTTAGCTGTAGCTGGAGTTATCTCCAGTCCCGCCCAGGCCGGCAGCCACTCAGACTCAAATAAACACACAGACGCTTATATTTTTTATAAACTGTATGGCCATGGCAGGCTTCTCACTATCTAGTTCTTATATCTTAAATTAACCCATTTCTATAAATCTATACCTTGCCACGTGACTCGTGGCTTACTGGTACCTTACATCATGCTTCTCATTGCGGTGGCTGGCAGAGTTTCTCTGACTCAGCCTTCCACTTTCCAGAATTCTCCTCTCTCCTTGGCCCGCCTATACTTCCTTCCTGCCTACTGGCCAGTCAGCGCTTCATTTATCAATCAATCATCCACAGCACTTCCCCTTTTCTTTTTCTCCAAAAGGAAGGTTTTAACTTTAACATAGTAAAATTACATATAACAAAACAATTATCAAGCAAGAATTACAGTTACAATATCTAGTCTATTTATATTTGGCAAAATTAAAGAAAATATTCCATCTATCCTATATTTGTGAGTCTTAAGGTTTCATATCTAACTTATCTTTTATCATAACTAAGGAAATTATAACTATCTAGTCTTCAACTACATCAAAGACCTCAGAAGGATATAATATTACATAAGAAAACAGGGAGAGCATTGTAAGCAACTTCCAAAACTCTGGAAACAACAGAGACAGCTGCCTGCCTGGACAGTCATCCAAAGTTCCTCTGTAAAGTTGGGGCATCTGTCTTCAGCCCACAGGCCTAGAGTCTCTCAGTCATTTCTCTCTGTGTCCTGTAGAATGTCTGGCAGTTTCCTCTGCGAAGCAGGAACCTGAAGGACCATTTCGTCAAGCAAAGTTCAGTGGTCACCTTCCTATGGGTTCTGCATGTCCAGTCGATCAAGCAGTCCAGGCAAGAACAGTTTCTTGCCCAAATGGCTATTATTGCCAAGAAGAAGATAAACTCCATATAGAGTGTCTTCGATGCCTATCCTCCTCTCTGAAGTAAATCGGTGCTGGCAGGAGCAGACATGTCTCACTGTCCAGAAAGTCTAAATTTTTTATAACATTTTAAATGCCATATTCTGTAGGTCTTTGAAGTGTTTGAAGATTACCTACCTAATTGAATTGTATCTGTGTATAACTAGAAAACTTAACATGACTATAAGTTTGACTATCATAATCTGTATTTCTTAATTATCCATTACAATCTAAATAAGTTACATAAATATAATACCTCAAACGAGAAAATATATATATATATATACACACAGTATAACAAGATTAAGTTTAAACATATATCAATAAACTAAAATCCATAGCAATGTAAAACATTTTTAAATAAGCTGTTACTATTTATCCTGTCATATCTATATTCCCTTTTTTTCTTTAGAAAGAGATCGCATTTATAATCAACCTGCTTGAAATTAAAATATTGGTTTTGTTCTATCCCACACCAGAGGGCTCTTCTGATATGAGACAGAAAAAATAAATCTCTCAACCTTTTTTTGGGGGGGAGGGGCGGACAGTATGCTTGGGTTTAGAGAAGGAGTGAGCCAATTCCATCTCCAAAGCCAGCTTGGTATATTTGGAAATTTGGGCATAGCTTCTCATACTACTTCCTGCTGGATGAGGGCGCTGTATCTTATGGGGACACAAAGAAAATTTTAGGATTATGGAGTAGTCAGTGAGGCTGTATTGTCTGAGCCAATTGCCTTGAAACCGTTCTGGATGTTGGATCATCTGGGCCATGGTGTCATCGGAGACCTTTCAGGGGGTCTTGGCTGGTCCAACCTGATGTATCTTAATCTGGAACAAATCCATAGCCTCTTGCTTTCTGTGGAATCAAAAGCAGAGCCTCCTTTCCAAAGCAACATATCCTTACATCCAAATTTTGAAGTCAAGATACCTTTAAAATATACATATTGGCATAACTCAACAGTTTTTACAATCAGATGTCTTTCTGCAGTTAAAAATATCACAGACAACACAATCTAGATTCTCTGTATAATATCCATCTTTTCTTAGCTTTTTTTTTAATATTACCTTTACTGTCTCTTTAAAGACCTTATTTTTTTAAAACTATTTCTTTATATAATTGTATATATTTCTTTTTTTCCCCTCTCTCTTCCAAGTCTACATACATTTTTACATACATTGTAAACCATTCCATCTGAATCTGTCATATTGTGAATCTGTTGCTTTAAACTGCAGCATTCTGTGCCCACCTCAGCTTCCCAACGTGGCAGTGGTATGTTTACTGCCAGCTCTGGGAACCATCAACTCACAGAAGCAGTGGGTCTGTGCTTCTATCAAAGCAGGCATTTTTTGTTTTGTTTTGTTTTGTTTTTTGTACTAACAAAGGCTAAATCCACCACGCACCATGTTGCACCTCTTACAGAAACCTCTGTGTAACTCGGCAGGAATAGGTCAAGCCCACATGCCGCAAACCTGTCATAGAGTAGCTGAAGCCGGCATGTTGCGGCATCTGGCCGCCCGCATGAGACATGTTTCCAGCTCCTTTTAGAATTGGTTATTAAGTATTTTCAGGTTTAAGGTGGAAACTCGAGCCATTGGGCACCATTTGTAGCTGAAGTTTTTCTGGTCCTGCCAGGCCCACATTCAGGACAAATCTCTCTCACCTTCCAGTCCCTCAGCCGCTTGGACCCAAGTAAACACACAGAGACTTATATTACTTATAAACTGTATGGCTGTGGCAGGCTTCTTGCTATCTAGTTCTTATATCTTAAATTAACCCATTTCTATAAATCTATACCTTGCCATGTGGCTCGTGGCTTACCAGTATCTTAACATCATGCTTCTCATCATGGTGGCTGGCAGCATCTTTGTGCCTCAGCCTTCCACTTTCCAGAATTCTCCTCTCTCCTTGGCCCGCCTATACTTCCTGCCTGGCTACTGGCAATCAGCACTTTATTTATCAGTCAATCATCCATAGCGGCTAGCCTCTAAGTGCCACACATAGCCAACTTGCTGGTGTTTTACCTCACATGGACCACGCTAGTTCTGATGTCTGAGAGCTGTTAACAGAAAAATACGTGGTTGACTGCTGTACTCAAAATCCTTTGTGAGATTAAGAGAAGTAAAAACCTCAGGCTTCTCTGCCAGGAAGGCTAGTGAGGAGTGAGGCACCTCCCAGCATCCTGGCTTGTTGGTAACAGCCGAGTGACTGGTTATATGTCTGAACTGGTGTGTTGGATGCCTGGGGGTGAAGAACAATGAAAGTGAGTAAGGAGCTTGCAGTCATTGCCACGGCCCTGCAGTGTTCAGAGGTATAGCAGGACAGGATGGCCGTTCCCCATAGTAGAGGAACAGAGTGAGCCCTCTCCGGGTGCCTGTGTGAAGGGCTGCTCTCTGTTGTGTCTCACTCAGGATGCTGCTGGGGCCAGCTTAGTTAGATAGGGAATTTAAAAATAAAAGAAGCAGTGGCTACATGTGAGGGAAGGCTCAGACCATGATGTTTTCTGCAGAAGGAACAAGAGGAGTAGAGTATGCCTCCAGTATTCTGACCTGTGGTGTGTAAGTTGGGAATTAGAGGAAGAGATTGATGGACCCTGCATAAGGTTAAAAAGTTAAAAAAAAAAAAAAAATGAGTCCTTGCAATTGATAATTTACATGTGAAGGACAGAAAAGACACACCCATAAAAAAAAATTAGAAAGACTCTCAGAATCTCTAGCCAGTCTGATGGGTGTATATGAATAGCATTTACCTAAATGGACCATATTCTGAATCATAAAACTTGTCTCAAATCATAAAAAGTATATTCTTTTACCACAGAAGAATAAAACCTACTTTTAAGAAAACATTAAGCCCAGTGAAAAAGTAGGCAAAAAAAAAAAAAACCTGAATAAATCTTTACTTTACCAAAAGAGGGGTTGGGGAAGAACAATGAAATTCTTACTGCACAGGGATGAAGACTTGAGTTTCATCCTCATATAAACAGCCAGACTTGTGATACACTCTTGTAATTCCTGTGCTGGGGAGCTAGAGGCCTGGGCCTGCTGGCCAGCCAGCCTAGTCTACATGGTAAGTCTCAGGACCAGTGAGGCACACTGTCTTAAAATCATGTGGTCAGCTCCCGAGTAAAAGCACCCAATGAAAACCCCCCTCTACATACATGCACATGTAACCATGTAATGACACACACGTGAATATGCCCATACAATTTGTGCATACTCACAGTTTTCCAAAAGAATAGGTATAAATGTTCAGCTTTCTTAGTATGAAAGAAAGGAAGAGATTAGAGGCTGGAGAGATGGCTCAGCAGTCAAAAGGGTGTGCTTGTCTTGTAAAGGACCCAGGTTCAGTTCCCAGCACCAACAGGCTCAGCTCACAACTGCCTGCGACTTCCACTTCATGGGCATTGATGCCTCGTGGCACAGACACACATATACACATAATTAGAAGTCTTTAAAAAATGAAAATTAAAGTCACAGTGACAGGTGACCAGGGATGTGGCACAGTGGTAGAACATGCAGTCCTGAGTTTGACATACAGAACCATAATGTAGTGCCGTTATTCATGTATGATTTAATTAAGATATAAAAGAATCACTGCTGACACTCGCTGTCAAGGATGAAGAGCAAATAGATTTAAATTGGACATCTATTAGCCGTAGTACACAGTCATACTATGCTAGATATTTACCTAAGAGAAATGAAAGCATTTACCCATAAGAAAAGTTCCATGGTAATATTCATATAGTGTTTTTAATAGAAAAACTTGCCTGCAACCCAAATGCCTGTGAACATCTCTGAATGGATAAGCAAATGATAGTATATTCATATAATGAAGCCTGCTTAGCACTTAAAAATGAATAAATTGCTGATAGATAGAAGTATCTACAGATCCCAAAATAGTATAAATAAAGCCAAACAAAAGGAGGGCATATTATTTTATGTACATTTATAGAAAATTAATTCTAGGAAATATAAATTAGTTGTAAAACATAGGTAATGATTACCATAACAGTAGAATCCAGACAAGCAGAGAGAAGAAATTACAGAGAGCCACGAGGGAACTTTAGGGTGATAGATGTATTATCTTTTTGCTAGGAGTGGTAATCTCACAGTTGGTAGATAGGACAGAACTTACCCCTCTTTGCTCACGTATTTCGTGGCATGGGACACAGTCTCCTTTGCACCAGCACTACCTGAGGACTCTGGAAGTCCCTGCAGCAAAAGAGAACCAGGAGCTGGAGAGAAAAGGCTGAGGGTGGAAGATCGAGAGACCTGAAAGGAGGAGCAGGATCGTCTTGAAAACAGTCCTAGCGGCTGGAACAGATAGGTACTGTGTTGGTCGCATTTTTGTATTGCACAAGAAGATTGTACCCTAGGAAATGACCTCGTACACAATGATGAAGAATCTAGTAGTGAATCTTCTGCTACTACTACTACCTATTCTTGAGAACAAAACTAATTGTACATTCAGACCAGAGATGCTCTTTGGACTGATCAGCTGGTTTTGCTCTTCAGCCATTTTTGAAAGGTCTGAGTGAGCTCATGAATGTCATTTTAGTCCATGCTTGACAAATGTGAGATAGGACTATAAAGATCAAAAGGCAAATAGAAATAAACCTACACTCTAGGTAATCATGCAGGGGACAAGCAGGACTGTCTCCATAAATATGCACAACCCAGACTTAAAATTTGTGATTACAGGGTGTTCTGTCCTATAAAAGGATGTGGTTTTAGTTAAACTGGGTGGTGGTGGTCATACACCTTTAATTCCAGCACTCGGGAGGCAGAGGCAGGTGGATCTCTGAGTTCAAGGCCAGCCTGGTCTACACAGTGAGTTCCAGGACAGCCAGGGCTACACAGAGAAACCCTATCTCGAACCACCCTCCCCAAAAAAAGCATGGGGTTTTTGCTGTTAGCCCATGACTGACAGCTATTGGAATCTCTGCAAGTGTACTAGTCTAATAAATTTCCTCTTCTGTTTTAAAAATTACCAATTTGTATAATTTATAATTTATGTACAGTTTATTGTTCAGCAATTATATATTGTTAGATACAGAAGTGATAAATCAAAAACACATCCCTTCTCTTTAATTTGAAGGTGTTCTCCACATACAAAAAGATAAAGTGGTCATTTTATTCTGTATACCAAGTATAGTATTATGTGAATTCTGTCACATGATCAAACTATATACCTAAACTCAGCTATTGTAAAAAAAATAACATATAAGTCTTGACTTTAGAATTTTCCCAAGATTTCTTCAGGCTAGATGGTGTTATATGGCAAAATATATTGAGTTAGAATAAACAACATTCATGTTTGAATTCAGTCTCTGTAAATTTCTGTGTATAGAACCTTGAGCAACTTACCATCTCTTTGTCTATTTACTAATGAAAATGGAGCTACCTACTTCTTAAGGTTACTCTGAAAAAATAAACCTAGAATAAAATAGCAAGGATTTTGTCCCTCCCCCCTTTCTTCACTCCTAGCTCAGGATGGCCTTTGAACAGACCATACAATATAGCTGATGACCTCCATTTCCACCTTCCAAGTGCTGGGATTAAAGGTGTGCACCACCACCATACCCAGCTAATAGCATGGTTTTCTAGAATAAAATGCTCCATATTGCCTTTAATTTTATATGATTACCCAGGGCAGGTTACTCACTGGCTCTGGATATATTCCTTTTTTTTTTTTTTTATTTTATTTTAAAGATTTATTTATTTTATGTATGTGAGCACTCTATCTGCATGTACACACCTTTAATCCAGCAGAGGGCACCAGATCCCATTACAGATGGCTGTGAGCCACCATGTGGTTGCTGGGAATGAACTCAGGACCTCTGGAAGAGCAGCCAGTGCTCTTAACCACTAGCCATCTCTCCAGTCCCTCTGGATATATTCTCATACAAAGACATCCATCTTGCAAGGTTGTTTAGAGAATTCACAATAGTGTATCTGCCATAGTTATCTGCTGTGTGATGTCTTATAGTACATTTTGCTTACTTAACATATGTAATTTTCTTCACTTTGACAGTTTCTGAAAACATACTCCAAATTGTATTTGCTGACAATTTACACTTTACAACCACAGTTTAAAAGCCTGTGTTTAAGGTTAATCCTCAGGGCTGGTAAGGTGGCTCAGCTGGTAAAGGTACTTGTCTCCAGGCCTGAAGACTCATGTGATGGAAGAAGAGAACCGACTTCCACAGTTGTGCTTCTCTATAGGTGTGCCATGACACGGGTGTGAATGGACCATGCATGCACGATACATGTCATCATGTTTAGCCAGTTCTCGCTTTACTTCTATCAAAGATCATATAAAATTCTGACTTTTTCATTTTTTGTTTCTATATACAACAGAGCTTTCTTGAAGTTCAGAAATCCACAGGTGAATTCTAAAAGAATAATAATTCTATTACCCTCTTGAGCTTTTTTCCTGCAAGAATAGAACATTCTCATCGTAGAAATGCCACAGAGAACAATGTTCCTTCCTTGGATGATTATAATCAACTCAGGTCAAGAAAATCCCATTTAGGTTAGTTATAACTCACTGAGCTAGTTCTCTTTCCATACTTTGGAATCTCAAATGACTAATTAATAAATGAGTCCCACAATGGGACAGTGACATTGCTTTAACAAAGGAAATTATTCCTAGGTCTCTGCCCTGAATTATACAAGAGTTCTGAGTTTAGCTTAGATATTTTAAAGCGTTTCAGAATTAAAATTACTTCTACAAACCACCATTTCAAATTTGGGAATGAATCCCAATTGTGGGTCTTCTGGAATAATGTAGATGCTTTACAGTACAACTTAAAAATTTTATCATGGTTTCCAAGCTTATGTATATTGAAGTCATTTGATATGTTGTTGATTTAGTGCCATAACAGGTTGCTATTTGATACCGCCTAATAACATGCCTGGACTAACACTTCGGAGACTAAGGCAGGAGAACTGCAAATTCTAGGCCAGCCTGGGCCTCTTCATGAGACCCTGTCGCAAAAAAGAAAAGAGCTATTGACTTACTCATGACTTTTCTACACTTACTCTTTGGTACCCCCCACTGTTGTGTGAGGGAATCAGATACTCAAAATATTTGAAGAACCTCTTCTGTTGGTGTCTTAGCTAATATTAATGTATTAGTATTTTAGGAACCAAAGAAAAATTATGCATTTTAACACTACTGGTTGACTAGTAGAACCTTGAAACTTTTTCAGGCAACAGCTTATTTTTAAGTATATTTGATTCGAATGTTCTTGGAGTTTTGTTTTTTCTTTTTCAGAATTTATTACTGTAAATACTTCAGATCACCTTTGTGAGTTTCAGTATGTAGTATGTGAAACAGTGTACTCAGAGATGTGTGCCCTTTCCTGTTCTGTACTAAGTTGATTTTTCCCTTTGTAGATGGCGATGCCCAGTCTCTTAAGGAGCACCTTATCGATGAGTTGGATTATATACTGTTGCCAACTGAGGGCTGGAACAAACTCGTCAGCTGGTACACGCTGATGGAAGGCCAAGAGCCAATAGCAAGAAAGGTATATTTGAGAGTAACTGAGTATAAATATATTTTAAGTAGCTCACATTGGTAATTCGATGTCGTCTGAAGCCTTCTTAACATATCTTAGGAGAAAAGCCAAGAAAACATTCCTATGCACTGGATACCTAGCTGATAACATGATAGAAACAGGATTAATATCTATTTTACAGTTGAAGACAGGACGGAAGGGGCCAGTGTTCTATATGGCACACTGCTTTTTTTCTACGACAATTTTAAAAATAAACTAAATGTTGATGAAATGGTTTTTTTTGCAACATAAAATACTTTAAAAATGAAAATGTAAATTTTTCAATCTTTTTTTTTGTTTTACAATTATAGTCTAGAAATACTAAAAATAAACTTTTTTTTTTTTTGGTGTTTTGAGACAGGGTTTCTCTGTGTAACTTTGGAGCCTGTCCTGGAACTCCCTCTGTAGACCAGGCTGGCCCCGAACTCACAGAGATCCTCCTGCTTTGACCTCCCAAGTGCTGGGATGAAAGGCGTGCATCACCACCGCCCTGCTAAAAATGAACATTTTTTGGAATTAAAATGGGCAGTACTCTAGTAGAATACCAAATTTCAAGGTAAATAAGCTGAACTTACATGTCTATAGAATAATTTATTTTGATTTGTATAATGGGAATGTAGGTGTGTTTCTTTTGTCATTTTTGAAAATTAAGTGCTCTGACTTGTTAAAGATAGCCTTTACCTGTGAAATGGAACTGTAAGAACAGTGTTTGGAAAACACTTCTTCCTTTAAATTGTTTTGATAATTTCATAGGAATGGATATGCATTGTATTGTGAATATATTTACCCTGCTACCCTCTCTTACCCCCAAAACTCACTTCTTAAAGGAAAATTTGAATGTGTATTACGTTTTCTTCCTTAAACCTGGAGCACATTGCACGCTACAAGTTTCAGTATGGTACTAGATCCACCAACAAATTCGTTGCCTTTTAAAAATTCTTAGTCTTTTTAAAAGGACTTACTGAAGTTTGGTTTTCAAAAACTAAGGAAGTTAAAGTGAAAAGAAAAAGAATCATGGAAAGTTCACATACTTATAAAGAAAAATTTGAGAAGTCTATTAGAAGGTCATACATTTGTTCTTAATAATGTGAATGTAAATCTTTCAACATGTAAAGTAATTTTCAAACTTTAATATACATAAAATTGCCTGGAATCCTTATTAGAGATGCATCTTCCCTCCAGATGAAACCAGTAGGTCTAAGAGATTGCATTTTCCTCTGCCCTAAATTACTGATAGAGAGAAACGGTGCTTCCAGAAATAAACACAGTAACTGTCCTTACAGAGTCTGATGTCCAGGTCTGAATTGTATCAATCTCTGGTTACATTAAAGGATCTGTGATACATATACGATGTCCAGGTCTGAATTGTATCAATCTCTGGTTACATTAAAGGATCTGTGATACATATACAAAAGTAACCACGTTCTGGGGACTAGAGTTTTAAACTTTTCAACTAACTTTAGTGCTAGGCACTCAGCCATAAAAACAAGCTAACCAGAAAACAGGGAAATAAGCAAGATATGCAGTGAGCCAAACTGGAAAAGTAGCAGATTTATGTGATGATACACTGTGTACCCTAATACACTTTCCTGGGGGTCTGGGGACAGAGCCAGCCACTAGATTAGACATAGAGGTCAGGCAGTGGTGGCACACACACTTAATCCTATCACTCTGGAGGTAGAGATTTGTCTGGATCTCTGTGAGTTCAAAGCCACACTGGGAACAGACTCAGGCGTGGTGACATACACCTTTAATCCCAGGAAGTGACGGCAGGGCGGAGAAAGGTAAATAAGGTGTGAGGAAACAGGAACTAAAGCAGTTCAGCTGAGACCCTTTCGGGTTGAGGACTTGGAGGATTCATGGAGTTGGTGAGGTAATACGTGGTGGCTGTAGCTTGCTCTGCTTCTCTGATCTTTCAGCTTTCACCCCAATATCTCGCTCTGGGTTTTATATTAAAAGACCATCTAAGATTCGAACAACAGAATTAGACTCGTAAGAACAGTTAATGGTGACAGTAGACTTAGTATGCTCAAAAAATAAATAACTGGAAAGTAGTGCAAAACTATTAAACAAGATCCTGATGCTTCTGAAACTAATAATATAAATAATATACTTTACATTAGAGTGTAATGGTAAAGAGAGCCGAAAAGTGAATTTTTAGGCCAATTGTTGTTAGTAGAAAATATGCAATGTAGAATTTATACTAAGGAACAGAATGTCTTTGAAAAGTGAAGTTGTGCTTGTTAGAGTGACTGAATGCAGCGTAAGTACCTATCATTGGAGTCTTAGGAGAGACAGGGAGTGGAGCAGGTAGAACTAATGCCTGAAGAGGGAAGAGCAGAGTTGTTCCCAAACTGAGAAAGTACCAAATTACAGAGTCAGGAAACACTGATTCTCAGACTGAAGTAATAGAAATACATATTCAAAATTTAACAAGAGAAAAATATATTCCTCAGCATTGTTAGACAAAAAGATGCATTGTCTTCAAAAAAGAGTAAGTCAAGGAAATGGTTTCCCAGCAGAAACACTGGAAGACAGGAAGAAGTGTACTATTTTCAGTACACTACAAGAACGTAACTGCCAATCCAGAATTCTATGACCAAAGGAAGGATCCTTCAAAAAGGAGAAGAAAACAGGAAGACCTAAGTTCTTTATCCTGTGTATTTTCTGATGCTAATCCCTTAGTTTGGGAATACTGGTGTATTCTCCTGCACCTGGTGGGACATATTTTAAGATTAGGTTAGGGAAGATCTTGGAATGTATATCTCAGGTGTCTCTGTCATGGGGAACTGAATTGCACATGTCAAGGACATTGTGTGTACTCTAAGAAGAGGCCCACCCAGCTAGTAAAGTGGACTGTCAGTTCTTAATGAGTCTTCAGATAACTGAAGCCATAGCCCAAAGCTTGACAGAAACTTCATGAGAAATCTCAACCCAGATCAGTTGCTTATAGATTTTTGACCTCAGAGATGATGTCAGTTGTTTGTAGTTAGTGAGGTCTTAAGATCATGTATCAGTAGGTTGTTCATACTAGTTGAGGTACCTGGATGCTGTAGTATTAACTATGTAGTAAATATAGTAGAAACTATGGTGGCTTTGGCTGTACAGTGATCAGAAGGTATGAAGCATGAGTATCAATAAAAGCCTAAAAGACCATGAGCAGACTGAGGAGAATTTGGGGTTTAAGGAGGGTACCAGTAAAGACTTAAAGGAAAAGGAGGAAAACCTTGGAAACTGTAGGAATATGGTCTTTGTTGAAATGTCTCTACTATAAACTGAAAGATTAAAAAAAATATCATGAATGTAGTGATTTGACAAAGTGGTGCCTAATATCTACTTGTACTGCCTGTAGTCTGTATATAAAGATAATAAGCTAAAGATGGAGTACTTAATACAGCGCGGCAGTACTGTATAGGCTTGAAACGTGATCTTGATGATGTGAGAGCCAAGCTTGGACTATAACATCACCATGGCACAGTTGGGGGTGTGTCTCTCAAAAACAGTTTACAAGACCTATTAGGAATTAAGGATGTCATTATCTTAATAATATTCACTGATAAACTGATCAAATCCTAGGTTATCAGACAAACTCCCAAAATGACAACTGATAGAAGTTATCCTGTGTGTTTCCTGTCCCTAGTGAGATTAAGCTAGAAATTCATAACAGAGACACTTGATCCCCTACCTATTTACAATAGTATAATTTTAAATAATGAAAACCAGAGAAGAGATAAAGATCCAAATTTAAACTAAATGATAATAAAAATACAACTTAAATAGATAAGCCAGACATGCTTCCTGCTGACATATGCCCTTGATCTCAATATTCAATATTTGGGAGGTAGAGATGGGTTAGCTTCGGTTACATAGTGAAATTGTTTCCATTTCTACAAAACTAAAGAACAGGAAATGGGTCAAGTCATTCTTAGGAGGACCTTTACAACTAAATGCCAACCAGTTTTCTCGGTTAAGAAAAGGAGATGTAATTTTAATGAAGAAATACTGTAATGTGGACATTAGTGAAGCTAAATAAGATTACAGTGTATAGTAGCTTAGGATGTTACTCAGATATGAGTCCCAGTCCCAAAGTTTCTGTTGGTAAGAATATTTGATTCCTAGTTTTTTATTATCAGATGGCTATAAGAAAATCTTATAGGAACTCAGTATATTGTTTCATTCTTAAACAGCATAACTCTGTGTTGAGGACTAAAGCATCTTATGTAGAACTTAAAAGTTTTGCACTGTGAGTTAGGATATTAAAATGTGAGACATAGAGTCTGTAGAACTGTTATAAAGATTTGTAACAAGCATGATGAAGAGAAAGAACATAGCTGAAAAAGTAAAGTCCTGCTGGATTATACAGGAAACTCAAGACGAACTATTTGAAAACCCTGGGTTGAAACAGTTTTTCCTGAAAGTGAAAGAGGAGTTGGTGATTCTTGTGTTGACTTTGAGATGAGCCTACTGGTTCATGTAAGCCATTGGAGCCTCCCTTTTGCCATATCTGTCTAATGTATCACATATCAGGCCAATTACTGTTTTCAGAAACAGTGTTCATGACTGAAATCCTACAGTTAACCTTTAGAGGAGCAAAAGGAATATACTTATTTAAAAGGTGAACCTAATGTGTAAATATTTTACCGTCCTATACTTTATTACTTGCATGCTTGACTGCTTTTCTTTATTTTGTTTGTGTGCTGCATAGACTTACTAAGAACCCATTTAAAGGTCAGACAAAGTCATTTTAGAATGAAATGAAGGTATCCATTACAGGGACGGAGTGGTCATTTTAAAAGACATATTTTAACATAAATAGTAATAACAAACCTTGTAGATACAGTTACACAAAGCTTTGTAAGTTTTCGGTGTCAGAGCACTGTTAAAAAGGTAGGCATCTATCTGTATCTTTATTCAGAGCTGTATGTGAAAATCATACAGAGAAAATTAAACCGGTAAATTTATTGTTTATTGCATACCAAAATATTCACAAACTAGTAGAATGCCTTTCTAAACTGTTAATGGTTTAAATTGTTTATAATAGCTAATTATATTTCATTGGATATCTGTAGTTTTTCTGAAGCCTTGTTAAAGATATGTATTACTATGAGAAAGAACTCCATTGCTAGAATTCCTACTAATTGGTTTGGTTTTTGTCTTGAAGGTGGTAGAGCAGGGTATGTTTGTGAAGCACTGCAAAGTAGAAGTCTATCTCACAGAATTGAAGCTCTGTGAAAATGGAAACATGAACAACGTGGTAACTCGGAGATTTAGCAAAGCGGACACAATAGGTAATGCGAGCCTGTGCAGAGTGCTTGACTGTTGGCTGTAGTGTGCTGTGCTGCCAACCTGCTTGGGGTGTAGTCATCAGCATTGTGGAATCTCAGCTTTGAGCTGACTGGCTTGTTCCGTACTTCATTAAATGAGTTCAATGTTTGTCCCACTTTTAATTTAAGAAAATCAGATTTTAAAATTAGCATTTGAAAAATTGCATGCCATGTTTGTAACAACAAAATATAAATTTAAGTAGAACTTTAAGTGGACCATGTTAAATAAAAATTGGTCAAGTATGGAGAAAAAAAGTCAACTGGTATTTCCTTCATTCCAGGTAAGTAGCTAAGGCAACAGGCTTGGTGTTGCTAGAGCATATTGAGGAGTTTATTCATGGGTACACTTGAAAAACAGTCTCGGCTACCAGTGGACGCAATTCTCTATAGTGTTGTATAAATAGTGTCAGTGACTTGAACACATTCAAATTTTAATTAGTACATATTAATTATATACATGCCAATAGGTTTAATTATGAAATGTTCGTACATGTGTGAGATATAATGACATATTCAACCCCATTAGCCTATCTTCTGGTACCTTTATAATACACAGTGTTAACAAATATGAACACATTTATCTGCACATAAAGTATTTATTTAAAAGATAGTAATAATAGTGATCTTGTTGGAAAATACAAACAAATAATAGAGAAACGTAACATGCAGAACTCAGCATGCCAGAGAGATTAGCAAATTGTGAAGTTCTGCACTGTGTAAGTGTTCCTAATTTGAACTAGTCACTAAGAACACTGATTGAAAGTAAGTGAGGAGTGATAGCTGCATTGTAACCATGGTGATAAGCTGAGTATTTAGAGGGCAGCTGGACCAGGTTAGTGAAATAGTAGCAGTCAATCATCCTGTGGGGTCTGTGACCTCTCCTGACACAGGATCTTAGCCAGGTTTACAGTACCAAGCTTGAGTTTCCTCTAACAAGCGGGCCTTAAATCAAATCGGATGGCTATTGGCTCCCTGAAACGGCTAGGTGTCCTTACATTATTGCACTCAAAGGCAGATCATGGCTGGATAAGGCTGTTGGAAACTTCTCTGAGCAATCTACTTATCACCTTTTGGCTCTATAAAGATCCATAGCCAGTTGGAACATAAATAACAACATGTTAGTATAATTAATAATTATAAAATCTCTAGCAAGTTATAAATTTTCATTTTAACAGAAATGTTATAGAAAATCTGAGTCCATCAGAACCTTTTTTAGATAATTATTTTACTTACAAAGCTCAGGAAATCAGCAACTGATTTTAATTTCTGCATTGAAAACAGCCATTAGGAAGCTTTTACATTAAGTACTAAATAAAAATTTATAGGGGATAAATGTAATTTAAACAGAATTATCTGTTTCAGAAAGTTTGATCTGACATAGATTTTTTTTTTTTTTTTTTGGTTTTTCGAGACGGTTTCTCTGTGTAGCTTTGCGCCTTTCCTGGGACTCACTTGGTAGCCCAGGCTGGCCTCGAACTCACAGAGATCCGCCTGGCTCTGCCTCCCGAGTGCTGGGATTAAAGGCGTGCGCCACCACTGCCCGGCTCTGACATAGATTTTTAACCCATATACTTTAGATATCCTAATACTTTTTAAGGGTTCAGGAATTGAATATGTGGCTTAATATAGTAAATGAACTGAATTTTTGGTAACTTGAAATTTCTTATCGTTAACTGGATGTTTTTCAAACTGCTTGGAATTAGGATAATAAGCGAAAGATGGCTGTGTGTGTGTGTGTGTGTGTTATCCTTTTGGTCTTTAAAGAAACTTGATTGAAACTGACTTTTTTAAAAGCTCTATTAAATTGTCAACCCAGAATTAGGAAATTGATTCACATTTTTGTGTTGTTGCTAAATTAATTAAATAATTCTTTTTTTCAGCTTATACTACCCACATGATAGTAAAATGGTAACAGTAGACAATTTGAGATAGTTTAGACTATTAGAGCTGAAATACTTGGCTTTGACTGTTTTACTCTCTGAATTTCTGTAATTGAGCACTGAGTGTGTTCAGTAAGAGATAAAATTCAACTTCATATGTTTTAAGGCTAACCACTAAGGACATAATTTGTTCTAAGGCTTCTAAAAAATGCTTTCTTAATAAAAATTAATAAAATTGGTTGACATTCTTAAGTAAATATTCCTACCAGAAATGCTTTTCATAATTTTTTGTTATGTATATTTAAAAATGTTTGTTTCCTTCCTGAAGTAATAAGATCTGAGTGACATGTGGAAAAAGAAATGCTTAGTCCGTGAAATTCTTCGTCTCCAGTGGTTTTGACAATACACGATTCCAGCCACTGGTCCCATGGCCGTCTTTCACCTCCATTGTCTTGCTGGTTTCTTGTTTGTTTTTCTAGACTAGGTTAGTGCAGATAGGCAGGACAGCAGGCTACCAGTGTGGAGGGGGTGACTGCCGGTACCCTTAGCTGTCATTCCATCTCGGGTAGCACCTGTTTGCTGGCCTCTACTGCCTTCTTTCTCTTGGGCACATTGCACCAGGGCTAACTGTCTTCACTCTTTCTCCGTGGTCTCTGGCAAGTTCCTCATTGCCTAGTTCTTAACCCACCAGCAAAATTTAGCATAGTATACTCCTTGTCTAGAAACACCATCATAGCCTTGATCAGAAAATATTGGTATCTCCATGCTTGGCATCCTCTCCCTTGGGCCCCTTCTTTTTTTTATATTAATTTCCTGGCTTAAAATATTTTATTAATGTTCAACCCAACACTCTTAATTCCAGTTTCAGCCACCTTATATCTTCACTTATGTCTCATAAGAAATCTTGATTATACATAAAGTTAAACTCCCCTCCCTTGCTCATAAAGCCTAGTCACATTCTCCCCGTCTCAGTAATTAACTGCCTCCTCGTAAGGTTGCTCGGGTGAAATCTGTGGATGTATTAGGCCAGCAGTCCGGCCCAGCAGGGAAAGCTCTACCTGCGGCCATGCCTGCCAGGCTCAGTTCTGTCCCTGGAGCTCATTCCTCTGATGATGATACCCATGTGTGCACATGCCTCCTCACACACAAATAAACACACACTACATAAGTGTAACAGTCGTCTTTGTTTAAAAAGAAATCTGTAAGGAAAAGATGGGATGTTTGGATTTGTTTTTGCTGTCCTACACATAATCTTTTAGGATATCTTGGGAATATGTTCTCATTCTTGAATGTATGATATTCTTAAACTGATTGCATTATGAATATGAATATTTCTTATTGTTGGTGCCTTATCATAATTTAGTTTCTAACGCCTTTTGCAGTCTTAAATTTCTCAAATAATCATCTGTCAGTGTTAAAATTACCATTTCCCCTTTAAAAACACATAGCTGGCCTTATGGCAAAGCTTTTTTATTACTATTTCTTATGTATTTGTTTTTCTGTTTTTGGTATTTTATCCTTATTTTTTTTAATTTATAATGTTTTTATTTTTATATATTTTATTTTGTACTTTATAAATTTATAATGTAGTCTGGTAAGCATTTAGCACTTTGTAACTAATATACCGATTTTTTTAAATATATTGTATTTACATATCTTCCCTTTTTAAATCTTAGATACAATTGAAAAGGAAATAAGAAAAATCTTCAATATTCCAGATGAAAAGGAGACTAGATTGTGGAACAAGTATATGAGTAATACATTTGAGCCGCTGAATAAACCAGATAGCACCATTCAGGATGCTGGCTTATATCAAGGACAGGTATTTTTAGCAATAATTTCTTTTAAGATTTACTGATTTTTATTTTATGTGTATGTGTGAGTACCTGTGAGTATGTCTGTACCATGTACATGCCTGGTGCTCATGGAGACCAGAAGAGGGCGATGGATCCCTTAGAAAGGAACTGGAGTTACAGGTGGTTGTAAGCCACCTAATTTGGGTGCTGGGAGCTGAACCTAGGTCCTCTGCAAGAGCAACAGATGTTCTAACTGTTGAGCCATCTCTCCAACCCAACAGGAATGTTTGTTTTCAATGAAGCTTTTTGTATTAAAAAGCTTTCTGAATGCTATGTAGTACATGATGATGGGTCTATCTCTGGCTACCTCTTGCTAACTCTTCTCTATCCTCACTGGTCAATAACTGTAATTTCTAGTTTATTTTTATTGAGCTTGGAAACACTACTTTGCGAACAGTTCATGTTGTAAGGTAGATCAGCAGACTTCCTGTAAAGGATCACATAATGGTTTTGTCTCTCCGTAAGTCTCTGTTGCAGCCGTGACTCTTCCGTTGTCACGGTGTAAAAGCAGCCACAGATGACACATGAAGAAGTGGAGGTAGTGCATTCCAGGAAAAGCAGGTCTGTCAGAGCTGTAGGCTAAGGGGACCTCAGTCTGTCCATCCCTGATGGGCCTGTCGGCTCCCAGTTTGATCTTCCCTTTGGTGCAGTCTAAAACCATTAAATACAGTGAGAAATAAGAATGGATGATTACAGTTAGCAACCGAGTCTTTCAGTTCATTTCTGTTCCTCTCCCAGCCCTTGTCTTTCATAATCAACGCGGCCTGCTGCCTCCAGCTTCTTACATATTCGCATAGTCTTAACTTTACTGGAGTAATTTTTCTAAAATGTGAATCTGGTTCTTTGCCTCTCATAAACCTTTTCCAACTGCTTAGGGATTATGAAGTCCAGAACCCTTAGACAGCATACAGGTATCTATCTTTAGACGATCCTTGTCTTTTGGTTGTCATAGTCTTCCTACAGTATGCTTTTGAATGCATTATTCATCTACCCAATGTACCTTTCTTCTCATTTCCCTGCATTGATATTTTAACCATTCAAATGTTCATATTAGCCATCTCATCCAGTTATATAGGTGCATCAAATCACATTAATTTATCCTTCAAGTTTCAGCCCAAATGCCATAGCACCTCTTCATCTGTCCTTATTTTTCTCAGTATCCATTGATCTTAATTTAAGAAGAATTTCTTCCCTAATTTCTGTATTGATTTATTAGTATCCTTTAAAAATATACTGAGACAATACTGTACTGAGGTTCATGTTTTGATTAGAGTTTTTTTTTTAATTACTTGTACCTAACACAGTGACTGGTGATTCAGTATGTAGATGACTTTGTTATGCCAGTTTATTTGAAAATTACTATTAACATCAATAATATGATAATTATTTTAAAAACTCAGAAAAACTGAGATAAATTGTTAGTAAATACCTGCTATATATCAAGTGTTATACTAGGCTGTCAAAGGCAATTTGGTGAGAGCTGGGAAACTAGTCCCGTGTGCCAGGTACTCGCTCTGCAAGCCTAAGATCCTGAGTTTGATCCCCAGAATACTGTGACCAGCACTGCAGTGGTGGAGAGAGGCGAGTCCTGGGGTTCCTAGGTGGGCCAGCCCCGGCTCCAGTGCGGAACACCCCCCCCACACACACTGCCCACCTCAGAGAGCAAGGTGAATCACTACTGAAGAATGATTCACCTGTGCACATACAGTTAAAATCTTCTAAAGAAAGGAGAAAGTGTGGCATTAGCCATATAATCATTCCCTCCAGAATCTCAAAAACTTCACAGCAATGATTTTCAAACTTATTTTAGCCATTCTTAAGTGAAACTACAAAATTGAGAATACGTAGTAGGAACGTTGCTTGATTGAAGATCAAATGAGACCTAATTAATCTCCTTCGCAGCCATGAGCCCCTCATCCCTAGGGACAACTGTACCCTGTCGCAGTCTGTTGGAACTTGCAGTGGGAGTGTAATTTGAAGTTGTTATGAGTTAATTAATTCAATATTTTAGTGGCCTCATGAAATGGGTATTATTTTCCTCAGACATACAGAAAATGTCGTCTTAGAAAGTTAAAGAATTTGTTGTTCTTGATGACACACACTCATCAAACTGAAGATGAGACTTGGATGAGAGAATTAAGCTAGTTTAATAAGATTAAATATTTGTGAGGACTTGTTCATTTGGGAGGAGGTGGGTTTCAAAGAAATTTTCAAATAAAAAAATTGTGTATGTTGTATATGTATAGAGACCAGAGGAGAATATCAGTGTCAGCTTCCTACCGCACTCCCTTGATAGGGCTTCTCACTGAACCCGAAGCCCACTGTTTGAAGTTCCCTGTTTCTCTTCTAACACCCGACCCCAGTGCTGGGGTGATAGGCATATGTAGCCATGGCCTGCCTTTTTATGTGCATAGTGAGCATTTGAACTCAGCACAACAAGCAAGCTTAATTACTGAGCCTTCTCCCTAGCCCAGAACACACTCTTCTACCCACCCCACCTTTCCTGTAACTTAAAGTGCCCTAATTAGAAAGTGAGAACAGAATTGGAGAGATGGCCCAGTGCTTAAGAGCGCTTGCTGCTCTTGCAGAGGACCTGAGTTTGGTTCTCAGCACCTACAAGTGGCTCAGAATCACCTGTAACTCCAGTTCCAGGGGATTCAGTGCCTCTTCGGACCTTCCTGGACTCACGTGCACATACCAGTACATAGACACAAAACTGTACATTACTAAAATTAAAGAGAATTTTAAAAAGAGAGGAATATAGTACAAAAGTGTTTACCTCCCAATACTGGTGAATTTTCCATTTCCCTTTGATGTGTGTATAATTTAAATTTTGAGTTTTTCCAAGTTTTAACAATAAGCAAAACATTACTCAGAAAATGACTGGAATAAAGAAAATGATTTAAATAAAAGGAATGAATTTTATAACTTTTTGTAGCTTATTAATACTATCTGGCTGTAAAATATGGAATTTTAAGTAAAATGCTACTAGATATTAAAATGTTATCGCTAAAGATAATACATAACTTTGAGAGTTTTTATAGCTGAAATTCCTTGTTTTAAACCTGATTTAGCTCCTCCAAATGACCATAATATTTATGTATATGCAGATATAGTTTATATATCATTATAGTTGCAAGTTGTAGTAAAGAAAATCTTTCAAGCTATGAATCACTCAAATGCTACTTAGTAAATCTTTAAAACTATATATTTCCATATTGAGATGATAATTAGAAAATTGAGATAATGGATAAACTGGTAGGTAAGGAGAACATCCAGTGGGTCTGGATGGGAGGTGCTTGGTACCCTTCACTCTTTGAGAGTGACACACCTCAGCCAGCTCTTCTGAGTGCAGAATATACACTAGTCAAAGGCAACTTTAGTAGTTCTTTAACGTGAGTGCTCTGCCAACAAGTTATGTGAATTTTTTGAATGAGTATTTCAATATCAATTATATTTCACATTTTATATTTTATCATTACAGTTTATCTGTTGCATTCTGTGTGACTAGGGTCAAAAAGCCAATTTATAAGTGGTCTGGAAGCACATAGTCCTTCAAGGAGTATTGCTGTGAGGATGTAGAGTAGCGTGCAGAATTGCAACTAGAAGAAAAAGTATATAAACTAAATACATAGAATGTATTCATTTGTGATGCACTATATTTCAGTTCATGTTGTCTTACATTGTAGTTTTAAAGTGAAAATTTAGATTTTTTTATTTCTTATTAGTAATATCACAAATTCCTTTAATAAGTATTTTAAAATTAAATTTTCTTTCTTACATGACTCATCCTTAACAGAAACTAGAAGAAAGGCGTTTTTATTAATCTGGAACATAAAAGGGGAAAGAGTTGGGGATTTTTTTTAAAGTATAGCTTTGTCTTGGCATGGACTTTTTATTACCCTAGATGATTTTTGTCTATCTAAAACATGCTGCAGCAGGGGACTTGAGCTACTATAATTTCATTATTGGATTCTTATAAATGTGACTATCAGTTATGTACTAAAAGATTTCATAATTTAAGGCTGGCAAGATGGCTCAGTGGGTAAAGGCACTTGCTGCCAAGTCTGACTTAGGTTCATGCACACTGTGGAGGGAGAGAAGTGACCTCGCCAATTGCTCTCTCATCTCCATGAGGGCATCAAGCACAGGCCTGCCCATATATCATGGGTGCCTATACAAACAGGCACCCATACACACTACAGATAAATCCATAAATGTAATAAAAACTAGTTCTAAAAGAGATTTCAAAGCCCTAAACAAATTACAAGTAATCTATAGTTCGGAATTTTTTTGCCACTGTTTCTCAATAATATCTGCATATTAATAGTTAAATCATGATAGAGCCACTGATAGGACATCTGCTAACTGTACAATCCTATGTTACAAGTGTAAATACAATTTAAAACATACACTTTTAACTGAAACAACTTATAGTCTATTGTTTGGTTTACTTACATGTTATTAAAGTTACAGAAACTGATTTTTTATTTCCTTTTCTTCACTGTCAGTACTGGCTTATTTCAGACCGATTTTGTCTGTTTGGTCCTTAAATAATCAGTTACTTTAGTTCCTTATCAGCTTGTCTCCTAAAGCTGTCTGACTTCATAGCTGTGGACAAACACCCTGTGTTGTGTCGTGTTTGCAGGTGTTAGTGATAGAACAAAAAAATGAAGACGGGACGTGGCCAAGGGGTCCTTCTGCTCCTAAGTAAGTGCTTCTCTTGTGCTCTGTTGCATGATGTTGACACTTGGACACTTTGGATACTGAAGTCCAAAAGTAGAGCAAACGGAACTGTATGTTGCAAGAATACATATATCCTTTATCTTTTCTACTTTATTCTTGGAGAAGTTTTCTGAGTTTACACTTAGATTCATATGGTACAAATTTAAAACCTTCAAAGTCAAATTGCTTTTAGAATAAGTGATAGTGTAAATAAATGTTGCGTTGTTTAATATAGTCAGATCCTTAAGCATTTTGTTTCGTTTTCTTGAAGTATTTTTGTGATGTTTTTGAAGTACACCTATTAATGAAATGCTTCTTTTATGAAAGATAGTCTGGTGTGAGAGTAGTATTTCCATTATACAAATGTCTCAGAATTTAAGTGACTAAGTAGATGTAGCGTCTAGAGTATTAAGAGTTGCTTTTGATGATGAAGGAAGAAAGAGTTGAGAATCTTTTTCAAAATTACAAGATCTGCACTGCATTATCACAAAGACTTAAACCTATTTATATCACAATACATAAACTTCAAGTCTCTGAGAAGTAATACATGTGTCTATAATTGTAATATTTCCATAGCCTAAAGAGACCCTTTATATCACACCAAGGTTCCTTCTGCAAATCCTTGTGCTAAATAAGTGAGATAAATGAGAACTATAGAGAGCTTCATACCTACTCACATTTGATTGATGCCACATAAGTTGGAGGGTAATGTAATTTTCTGTAACTCTGAATTTCAGGTTCTCTGATGGATTGTAGATCTGAATTTTGAAAATTTTCAGAATAATGATTTGTAATTAAATTACTAATGTATTAGGTGAGCGGACATGGCAAATTTGTAGAAGCAAACAGCCTTGCTACTTGCTTAGAAATTTTCTTCCCAAGGAAGAAAGTGCATTTTTGATCTTATGTGAAGTTTTTTTATTGTGTTTTTTGTCTACTTTCTTGTGAGTTGGTGCCTAAATATAGTAATTACCTAGTGGTGTGTATTGCTCAGTGCCCTGCTTAGTTGGACATACGGATAGAATTTAGAGTAAAGCCAATGTTTTTGTGGGAAGAAGTAAAAGCATGTGAGTTGAATCATGGATCTCTTAACAGGTACAGACTTGGAAATTGTAGACTTCTTGTGAATATTCACTTTAGTGTTTGATCAAAACCACTGCTTTTGTTTTTCTCACTTATGTTTAGATTGCTTTACACTTACTGAATTGTGAAACAATTTTTGAAGTAAAATTGACTGAATTCCATATTCAAATATCGCGAGCTCTAAAGTATGAGAAGCCTTTTCTGTATAAAATTACCAACCTCCCCTGGCTGTCTCCTCTTCCTGTACCTTCTTTTTTTTTGAAAGCAAGGTATGGCCTAAGCTGACCTTGAAAACCTGAGGTCAGGTAATGCTCTTGTCTCAGCTTCCCAATTAGTTGGGACTACATGTTATAGACCACATTCAGTCCAGATCAGTTTTCCCCTTAATTATTTTAATTTGTTCAGATAGCTAAAGTACCTAATACACCATACTGACCTACTAACTTGGTGAATGAAGGTGTAATACATGGAAGTACAGCTAGAGTATCCACCAGTTTAGTAAGGTTGCCAACAAAAGAAGTTTATGTATCGGTCAATGTAAAACATACACCAGATGTATCTTATATGGTCAAATGACATTTTACCAAATATAAAACATTTGATATTTTCACTTGTGTATGAAAAGAATCCTAGAAAAGTAATGATAAAAGAAAATTTTCCTAGTTTAAGAAAGCCTATGTGACCAAAATCAGCAGTAAATAACGTATTTCATTGTAAAATTTAAGCATACTTCAATTAAGACAGAAGATAAATTCACTATTGACACATAATATGGAAGGGCCTTGTAACACTAATGATCAGATAATCTACATAAAAATCTAAATGGGAAGAACCCACCAAATGGTTGTTTAGTGCTAAATGATCTGCCCTGAAAACATCTATTAAAAAAATGACATATGAGTCGGGCGGTGGTGGCGCACGCCTTTAATCCCAGCACTCGGGAGGCAGAGCCAGGCGGATCTCTGTGAGTTCGAGGCCAGCCTGGTCTCCAAAGCGAGTACCAGGAAAGGCGCAAAGCTACACAGAGAAACCCTGTCTCGAAAAACCAAAAAAAAAAAAAAAATGACATATGGAATACATGTATATACATATATATATACATACACACATATATATGTACACACACACACACACACACACATATATGAAATAGTGGAAGATGAGTGAGTTTAAAGGAAAATAGAGCGGTATATGTGAAGGCTTGAATGGGGGGAAATAGAAGGGGAAAATGTTGTAATTACATGATACATGATAATCTCAAAAAAAAAAAATCTACATCAACAAACTGCTGAAAACTGTGGAAACTGAGCAGATTGGCAATAGACCTTTTCTGTGCCTAGGGGTCAGTGATCTTTTCTTAGTAGGATAACTGATAGAGAGCTTCAGTTTTGTGGATCAGGTGATCTGCAGCTGTGCTAATGTGGCATGCAAGCAGCAGCCTTAACATTGTTAGCACAGAGGTATAATTATATTGCAGTAAAGTTTTTTTTATAGAAAGCCAAAAGCTTATATTTATTTTAGGAGCTATACATCTGTGGGCTCTGGTATATACTAATACTAAACTGTAGAAAATAAAACAGCATAAATGTAAGTAAGGCTGCCTAAATTTGTTTAGTAGATAACTGAGAATTAGTACAATGCTAAGTAAAAGACTTAATGTCACACTAGCCAGAACAAAACAGAAGGCAATGGCCTGTGACAAATGAGTGAGGTGAGAAAGACATGTTTAACTCAGGATGTGTGGTACATGGTAGTGTGTTACCTCCTGGCAGTTAGGTTGTTTGAACATCTGATATTGTTCTTTCTGGAAAATAATCTGCAATATAATAATATAATATAATGGATTTAGATGAATGCATTTATTAGACCTGTAGCAGGCAAGAGTAAAAGAATAGCAGGTAAGTAACATCATCCAGTTGGACATAATGACATCCAGCAGAAATGAGTAGGGCAACCAGTTGTTCTGAAACAGTCTACTGGAGTTCGCTATAGAGAGGTTTTCAGACAGGGTTGAGCATCTCTGTGGATGAGCTTACCGGTTCTCATTCCTGCCATAGGCATCTTTATGCCAGAGGCTGCAATTGTAACCCCTGTTGGAAATGTTTTCCTTTCAGTTATTTTCAGAAGTGCAATGTTTTTACTACCCTTAGCTGTTTGCCTTTCTCCTTTTTTGGTGACAGAGGCAGAGGGCCAGCCTGACCCATGACAGGGTGTTTTAGAGATGCTTGAACAAACATGCCTATCTAAGACAGGGGGGTCTCCTTACTTCCAAAGACTGCTTTCAACAAACTCGTATAACTGTGTACGAGTTTAGTTTATAATACAGATGAGCAGTCGGGTTTGGTTTGCTTTGATTTGGTTTACAGTCTGGGGTTCTTGTAGGGGTGGCTTAGGGTTTTCTTGGTCTGGTAAAACACCATGACCAAAAGCAACTTGAGGAGGAACTCAAAAAGAACCAGGAGGCAAGAACTGGAACAGAAGCCATGGAGAGATGCTGTTCACTGACATGCCCGGCAAGGCTTACTCAGCCTTCTCTCTTATGCTGTCTGTGACCACCTGCTCAGGGGTGGCTTTGTCCCCAGTAAACAGGGCCTGCCCACATCGGTCATGAATGCAATACAGGTTTGCCTGTAGGCCAGTTTTCCCAGGCCCATTTTGATCATATGGAAACCATTAACATTTATGTTAAACCATAAATTTTAGGGGCCACTTAAAGAAATGTTAATTAAATACTATAAATATTAAGGAATAAATTTAATTTTACTTAAAACATTTAAATATATTTTAATTTAGGAAAGCAACCTAAAATCTGTTAGAAATCTGAAAATCTAAGAACCACTCAAAAGCTATTCAATTAAATTTTCCTGCTAAATACCAACATATAATTTGATGTTTTAGCTTATACACACACAATATATATATTTAAAACGTTCTATGCTTATTAGTTGCTTTAGAAGTTGCATGTATAATCCAGTTTTGAGTATCCAGTTTCTTACACTTCACAAAACAGTCGTTTCCAGTTTTACCTGTAAAGGTTTTCGTCTCTAAATTTGATATTGTTACTTTTCTCTGCTTTGCAAAGACAAGAGCATTAGTGATCCTAAATGATTGGAAATGCATGGATAGCCAAGTCTATGTTACCTTAAAATAAGAAATGTTAAAGTATAATAACTGTGGAATCCTGGGGGTTCCTAAAAAGAAAACTACATCAATAAGTTAACTCTTACTTAACAACAACAACAACAACAACAAAAATACAATGGAAGTTAATTCTTTATTCCTGAGCTGTGGCTCTGGGTTGTGAGCTCACTAGTTTCTGACTATATTGCTCTATTGTACTTTTTTTCTCTGTTGTTTCATTTAGGTGTAATAATTTAAAGCATTTTTAAATAATTGCAGTTACATAACAAGAAAACTAAATTGGTTTTCTGGAATACTAAAAATTGCCTTTTGTGAAGATAATATTAGAATTTCATTCATTCATTTTCATTGTTACTAAATAATGCTAATAAAAGGACATGTGAGAAGATCCTTGGTGTAAAGAGGTTGAAAGCCGTTGATGGTTCTATGTTTCTATGGACAAGTAGAAAGTAAACACCAGAGGAATTTATCATCAACTGGTTAAAGCATGTGTGAATGAAAGATAAACAATGCCAGTAATTCTTTCATGTTGTGACTGATTTGCCTGCATGTTCATGTATGCATCACGAGTGTGCCTGGTACCTGTAGAGGACAAAAGAAAGCATTAGATCCCCTTGGAACGAAAGTTATGCATGGTTGAGAACCCTTGTGTAGATGTTAGGAACTGAGCCAAGGTCCTGCAAGACTAACAAGTGTTTTTAAGCTGAGCCATCATTCCATGCCAATAATTCTTACTCTTGCATTGTTTCCTGCGCTGTGTG